TCCTGTTGTATAAGAATTAATATGAAAAGAATTTTGTATCCTATTATGGCATTGTGTTATAATAATGGAATGCTCTCCCCGCCCAATCTGGCTTACTGTCCCCTAGATCTTGCCAACGATTATTCAGTTCCACAGTGTGTGAGTGTTGCTGTGGGGATAGCCTCCTGAGCCTGAAAGAAAGAGGCCGTGGATGCTTCGAGCTAGAAAACGGCATAGTCAGCCCTCCGCCCCGGGCACCCCTGTCTGCGCACACTCAGACACACACACGGGGACACACACACTTCACCCAGCGGTTTTACTGTCTTCCAAGCTAACACGGACCTGCATGGGAAGTGTAATACTTGGACAAATGCAGCTGTATGAGCAGCTCATTGTCTCTGATGCGACACACAATGGGTTCCAGAAAAGGAAAACAAAATACTCTTTAAACTGTGCTGCATTCTGTTTGGAAATTGAAAGTCCAGGCGGAGGGTTTTCCTTGACAAACCAGAACAGGGGTGTTGTTGCTGCACTTTAATTTTGCTTGGTAACTAGATCTTGTTCCCCTGAGCATAAAGATTTAACAGAGTTTCTCCAGAATTTACCAATTCAGAGAGTTCTGAACAACTAAGTAGGGGTGGGCGGGGGGAAAATGTATTTTTAACTCATCACATGTCCGCAGGATTCTTAAGGAGAAAACGGTGACTGGTTCTTTTCCATGTCCACCGGAACACAGCAAGGAGAAATGAACTTCAGCTGCAGCAGGTGAGATTCAAGTGAGACATGAGCAAAGTTTTCCAGCCTGAGGAAGGTTGACTAGAATGTATCACTGAGTGAGGATGCTGAAACGCTGTGAGGAAGGTTGACTAGAATGTATCACTGAGTGAGGATGCTGAAACGCTGTGAGGAAGGTTGACTAGAATGTATCACTGAGTGAGGATGCCGAAACGCTGCGGAAGATGGATGGGTCCAGCTAATTAATGCGTAGTAAGGGGTGGAACCCTTGGATTCTACGGAAGCTCCTGGCTGGTTAGGTGCTGATAATGGTGTTTCGTTTCAATTTGTTTTGAGATTTCTAGTTGTTGAGCTCCCATTGTTACATATTTCCATCAAATCAACTCCCTCCAAATCATTCTATTTGGAGGGAGACACTGTTCTCCATTTCTGCTCAGCCACTTCCAGCCTCACCCACTCTTTATAATCTTCAGTGAGGAAATGCCTCTCACAGTCACTCTTCCTTCCCTGCCATGGCACCAAACCACAGATTCCCAGCATTGAACAATGGCCACAGAAGATGTATCTGGTTGAGTTTGTTGTGTGTGTGTGTGTGTGTGTGTGTGTGTGTGTGTGTGTGTGTGTGTTTTCTTTTCCTTTTTCTTAATAGAATTCCTTCAATTACATGTATGTTTTCAGCAGCCAGGCCAGTCTTCCTCCTCACAGGGGTGAGGTCAGCAAACCCAGGAAGGTTTCAGAGCCAAGAAAGCCTCAGATACGGGAGGAAGTAGTTATGGATACCCATAGCTGAAGTGTTCTGTGTCCACTGGAAGTAAAAGGGGAAGGTTCCCGTCCAAGAATGTACAGAGGACGTGAAATCATGTGTGGCTGCGCTGAGGCTAAAGGCTGACAGCCAACCATAGCCAGTTGGGGATATCAACCTCTAAAAACCAAAACTGGGGAAAAATGGCTCCCCATTTTCTGAGGTACTCTTGGAGCACAAGTTGAATGAAAACCAATCATCACTGCCCTGCCTAGCATGAAGCAGAATGAAAAGAAGGCAGATAATATTTCCTCCCCTGAACCACTCATCCATATCTGTTCTGTTCAGGTATCTGTGCCTAAGCAATAGCACACACCCCTCTCAGCATTCACCCACAGATCCCCGAAACCAAGCCCTAGCACAGTGGACTCCAATCAGCATTCACCCACAGATCCCCGAAACCAAGCCCTAGCACAGTCGACTCCAATCAGCATTCACCCACAGATCCCCCGTACTCCAATCAGCATTCACCTACAGATCCCCGAACCAAGCCCTAGCACAGTCGACTCCAATCAGCATTCACCCACAGATCCTCGAAAACCAAGTTCTAGCACAGTCGACTCCAATCAGCATTCACCCACAGATCCCCGAAACCAAGCCCTTAAGCCCTAGCACAGTCGACTCCAATCAGCATTCACCCACAGATCCCCAAAACCAAGCCATACCACAATTGACTCCAATCAGCATTCACCCAGAGATCCCCAAAACCAAGCCATACCACAATTGACTCCAGTGAAAACTCAAAAAGCCATCCCGAACATCTCCAGGCTTCTTTCCTCTGCAACTTCCCTCCTTCTTCATCACCAGTTATACCACCAAAGTATCTACAACTGCTCAGATGTAGGCAAACTACCCTGAAAGTGCTCACACATATTTCTTCCTTCCCTTGGGGGTGACATTCTATAATGATTCCATTATGTTTACAAATAGAAAAGTTATTTCAATACATCTGTATATTATATATATATGTATATATATACATAGCTTTTATATCACTGACACAGTGTTACATACAATAAAGAGAGGAATTATTTATATCAGTACAATTATCCAAATTAGCAATTGCTAGCATTGAATTAGGTACTGTACAAATGGATTACAATGCAAATATACAAGCTATATACAAGCTTATAATTTTGAAAATATTCAAACTTGATATTTATGGGTATGTTTCAAGATGTGCCTATACCTGCCCATCACAACAGTGCCATAGGTCAGTCTTTGTGAGATTCAGGTGTCCATCAGATCTCCTGATGAGCCATAGGCCCTTAGAGAGGTCTACGTGGTACCTACAGGTCAACAGATGGCATTAACAAGGGCATTTCCTCCAGCCGAAGACTCTGAGAACATCTGTCTCTGAGAACATCAGAGTCTGCCCTCTGATACTCAGAAGAAAGTAGACATGAGCCCAGACACCTAGTTTGACTCCGGCCTCCATCAGCCACTCCTCCAGGATGAACCATCCAATAAGACACTTAGTACATACCAGTCGAATGCCCCTAACTCAGGGAAACATACATTAAAAATAGGTCACAGGTAGACAATGCTTCTCGAACACAGAAACATTGTCTTAATTAAGTATCTTCATCGCCTGGCAAAATTGCTGTTTCACAGTAGTTAATAAATCCTAGCTGCTGAATCAGTGCAGGAATAAATTTTGTCAAGCCTCAAATATCAGAAAGCCATCAAGGAATTCCAAGAAGGTGAGGAGAAAAAAGGTGTGGCGTGTTAGTGTTGATAGGAAAAAGACAAGTTTGTAAGTGGGATTTGGTCCACAGATCTGGAGCAAATGCAGGGAGATAATTAGTTGTGAACTTACCTATATTGTCCAGTACCTGTATTGCCCAAATGTCCATAGTAAGAAAGACTGACCTGGCCACTGCCTAGGATATGGAGACCTAAGACAGCCAAGATAGGAAGGATACACACCCACACAGAGTGCAACCTGATGGATAAGCAGCTTACAGAAGGTGACTTCCTCCAACACATTTCCTTCACAATTGTACCCAATTGGGATGGAGGAGATTCTTCTGGGTCTGAAGCAATATGCTCAGCTCTGTGCCTCTCTGTGGGAAAGAAGAGCATGGGTGTGCCCCTAAAAGCATGCATGTGTCCATGGACACCTGCTCAGTCCCACAGAGCACCTGAGAGACAGAAGAGGACCAATGATCCTTATCATCATAAATAGAATTGTTACGGTTAGTAGTTGTATGAGTCCAGTGCCTAGCATCCTGTAATGTGTCCAATAATTGGATGGAAGGTTGAGCATAAAGAAATGTGAAATAATAATAGTTTCATATAACAGATGAAAAAGAAAAATATAGATGGATGCAGAAAAAGTAAAGGAAGCACTTGCTTTGATTTATAGACCTTCACCAGTGTTAAGAAATCAGTGGTGTGGCACTGGAATCTATAGCTAGGGCATATTTAGTACATATTAAATACACGTAGGTCTTGCTTCTCGCACCAAATGAGTACAGCTGGAACAACTGCAATACTCACAGGAGTTGAAACGTACATACCTATTTCTGAAGTACATTGAAATGTACATATGTTCAAAGTACGTTGAAATGTACATACCTATTTCTGAAGATGTTTAAAAACACCCTTGACCCATTACTACAGTGCCCCCAAACCCTTTCTCATTTGAAAGCCAATAACAATCTCTTCACTAATCATATTCCTACGATCCCAGCAGGTGGGCAAGATGAGAAAAGCAGCCAGGCTACACATTTGCATCAAACAATAGAGAAACAGCCTCTATGAGGGACAGAAAATAAGGAGAAGGGACAGGGTGAGGAAAGAGTACAAACAGGATTGTGTCTCAGCGGAACATCTGAGGTTTACCACCATTCCATCAACTGCATCCCCAGCAAGCCGATAACGATGAGCCTTTAATGCATTTGCTGCCTCTGACTTGTGCGGCCCAGCATGCAATCATCCAAATGATACCACAATAATGCTGGAGCACACATTAAGCACTTACTGTAATAGCTGGACTGCTGAGCAAGAGACGTCGAAGGCTGCAGAGCAGCAAGCATTAAGGGTGCCTTTGACTGCGTGTGCACACCCATATCAAGCCATGGTGTGGGCTCCAATGGGCTATGTAGTGACGATAGCCGTGAAATCAGTGAAGAAGGAAATCGAGCATCGAAAGGTTGCTGATGGGACCTCTCTATTTTTAGGTTTAAAAATGTATTACACCAAAAGTGAACCCTAATGTAAACTTTGGACTTTGGATGATAATGATGTGTCAGTATAGGTTCCGCTGTAGCAAATGTACCCTTCTGGTTCAGGATATTGACAGTAGGGGAGGTGGTGTGGAAGGGAATGGGATGTGTGGGATATCCTTGTACCGTCTGCTCAGTGTGACTACAAATCTAAAATTGCTCTAGGACATAAAGTCAATATATAAATACATAAATTGCAAATGTGGGGTCTGGGGAGGTGTACGATACTCCCTGCAGTAAATAGCAGTACTTACATCTCAAGCGGCCTCATGCAGGTGAAGATAAAAGGACATAGCATCAAACATCTGGGTGTCTGCAGCAAACCATCCCAACTCCCACTCCAAAGAAAATGACTCCAAAGGTTTTCCTGTTAATATATTTCCAGGTATCAGAATCTTGTTTTCAACCATCAGACATCTTGAAAGAGTAGTTGACGTTTTCATTGTTATCATTACTCTTAAGTCTTAATGGTTCTATGTTATTTTCCTGTGGCCGCTGTAACAAATCACTAGAAACTTCGTACTTAAAATAAATACCAGTTAATTATCTTACAGTTCTATAGATCAGAAGTCTGGTATGGATCGCAGCAGACTGATATCTAGGTGTTAGCAGGCCACGCTCCATTCTGAAGGTCCCAGAAGAGACTGCACTTCCTACTCATTCAGGTGGTTGGCAGAATTCCTTGCACTGGCAGGACTGAGGTCTCTATTTTCTTCCTGCCTATAAACTGAGAACGGTTCTCTGCATCTAGAGGCCACCACATTCCTTGGCCTATGGCCCTCTTCCTCCATCTCCAATATCATATCTCTCTTACACTCTTCCTGCTGGTTCTTTGACTTACAAAGACTCGTGGGATTAAATTGGGTCCACCCAGATAACCCAGGATAATCTCCCCATGTCAAAATCTGTGCCCTTAGTCGCAACTGTGCAGCCTCTTTTGCTGTGTAAGATAACATATTCACAGGCTCCAAGGATTAAGGCAGGCACATCTTTGAGGGGTAGGGTGTATTCTGCCTACCACATTCTCTTTAACCCATTAATACATGGCCTTCATCCACAATGCTTCTGAAACTCATTTCCCGAAAGTCATCTTGAACACTTACGTGAATGCTAAATCCATCCTCATCCTTATGTGACCATTCTGCAGTGTTTGACATGGACATGACCTAATTCCTGAAGCACTTGGCTTCTACATGCTATAACACTGTCTGCTGATCTCCTCCTACACCCTAGACCATCTCTTATTGAATCCTGCATTCATTTCTCTGCTTTCTTCTTCTTTCTTTGCATAGTGTCATGGCACCTGTACATCTCAGGTCTGTGTCCAGATCTCCTGGACCTTGGTTCCCAATCATAACTGCCTTCTGAGCTCTGCTTGGATGACACATAGGCTCCTTTCTATTCTGCACATAACTGATTCCTTTTTCTGCATGATATACCTCATCGTAGCAACACCAAACCTCTCTCTTCCATGATGGATCGTTAGAAGTCATCCTCTCCCGCCGGGCGCCATGGTTCACGCCTGTAATTCCAGCACTTTGGGAGGCTGAGGCGGGTGGATCACCTGAGGTTGGGAGTTCAAGACCAGCCTGACCAACATGGTGAAACCCCATCTCTACTAAAAATACAAAATTAGCCGTGCGTGGTGGCGTGTGCCTGTAATCCCAGTTACTCGGGAGGCTGAGGCAGGAGAATTGCTTGAACCTGGGAGGCAGAAGTTGCAGTGAGTCAAGATTGGCACTGCACTCCAGCCTGGGCAACAAGAGCAAAACTCCATCTCAAGAAAAAAAAAGTCATTCTCTCTTCCTCCTGCCTCTACTCACACCCACCCCCAAACCCAGACAATCATAATGTTCTGTCTTACTTCCTAAGTATCTCTTGAATCCACTGTCTCCTCTCTTGCTTGCTGTCATTGGTGATTTTCAGGCCCCCAGTATTCATCCCAAGATTACTGACAACACCCTCAAGTCCTGTGCCACCACTCCCAGCCACAGATATGATCTTGTCTCTGCTCTGTTTAAAAACACTGGTTGACCAGGCATGGTGGCTCATGCCTGTAATCCCAGCACTTTGGGAGGCCAAGGAAGGTGGATTGCTTGAGTCCAAGAGTTCAAGACCAGCCTGGGCAACATAGAGAAACCCTGTCTCTACTAAAAATACAAAAAAATTAGCTGGGGTGATGTTGCATGTCTGTAGTCCCAGTTACTCAGGAGGCTGAGGTGGAAGGATCACTTGATCCTAGGAGGTGGAGTTTGCAGTGAGCTGAGAGCATGCCACTGCACTCCAGCCTGGGCAACAGAGTGAGACACTGTCTCAAAAACAAAACAAAACAAATTTGGTTGCTGCCCATTGCCCAAGAGCATCAAATCTGGCTCATGGCAATACCCTGCATACACACATACACCACTGGCCTCTAAGGGGTTGCTGGGCTTATCACCTGCCCTTCTTCCACTTGTTATCCATAGCCCCAGATCAGTCTGCAGACCAGCAGCTTCAGCATCACCTGGGAGCGTGTTAGAAATACACAATCTCAGGCCCCACCTCAGATCTACTTAATCAGACTTCGTATTTAAATAAGATTCCTATTTAAATTTTATGCACATCATTAAAGTTTGAGACACATTGCTCCGGAGCTGTGCTCCCCAGAGTGAGGCATGTGAGGTAAGCTTTTGAGTATGGAAGCATCGTATTAGAAATTCTCTTTATTTTTATGTGTATTCTCCTCCAATTTAATTTGGATTTTTTCACATATTTTATGAATCACTGCCCATTTTAACAAATCATCCAGACCCTGTTCCTGTGCTTTGCCTACACTAATCCTTTTGCCTGGAATAATTTTCCTACTCTCCACTAACTAAAACTAGCTTCTGAACCCACCAGCATCCCCTGCTCTAGGAGGCTTCCCATCCCTTCAAATGGGTCATCACTCTCACTTCCACACTCTTGTAGACATTCTTCTTGCATGGCTTTTTTTTGCCTATTCATGTGCTCCATTAGGTCGTGGGCTCCTCAAGGATGAGAACCGTGCAGTCTCTATCTGTGTGTCCTCAGAGCATGGCACAGTGATATTTTCTTAGCTAAACAGATGAATAGCTAACTTGCAAAAATTCTGCTTATTTGTAATACCTTTTTAATTTTTCATGCCTCTATTTGAAACAAAAGAGAGTTGTTGCCTAATCTCTTTCCTGAGATCACACAGCTCATGCTTCTGGATGGTTTCTAGTTGGTGACACACCAGCTGGACAGAGAGCTGAAAGTACACAAGAGTTCATTCTCACTCACCTGTAATCAACCCAGAGCATTTCGAGTCATGCCCCTTCCAGCTCCGTATCTATTTGGCATGGATACACACTACAAAGCAGAGAGGGAAACAGACATCTGGATTAGAATGTTTAGCATCCTTTGTTTTGTGCAGACTTTAAGCTGAATGCATATTTCATCATCATGGTCATGCCAACATTATTGCCCACATGAACAAAGAGCAAACTTCTCATTTCAAAGAAAATCGTTTTGTTTTCTGTCAGCTCCAGGGTAACATTGACTGATTCTGACCCTAATTGGAAAGCTACCACCGAATGGTATGAAGTTTATGAGGGGTACAGTCTGACACCTTGAAATAAAATGGTAGCTGATAAATTTTTCAGGTTGGCATATTTCTCTAAATCATTTACAATGAAATTTGGTAGGTGCACAGGTCAAAAAGACACTATCACAGGACTAAAGTCCATTTCTTCATATGCAAACTTGAGAGAATAATGCTTACCACGTAGGGTTTCTGTGAAGGTCTAATGAGAGGATATATGTAAAAAAATTATACACCTTAAAACTCTATATGAATGTATTACATTTTATTAATAATATTAATCTTTTTTTAATGACTCCTTAGATTTCACTTCTTCAGGCGGGCAGTTGCAAGCCTTCTACTCTTTCTTGAATATGTCTTTTTCCTGGTTTTCTGTTGTTCTCATTCTCTTTCTTAATTCAAAGGGATCTATACATCCCTTAGAATTAACTAGTAATTCAATGGTGTGAACAGGATAACCGCTTACAGAATACACCTATGCATTTCACTCATTTCGTTTAATCAGGATTTAAGTAAATTATACATTTTTTCCTCCCTGATATGTCATGCACTTAGCGCTATATAGAATTAAACTTTAAGCTAAAGGGTGACATCATTTCTTTTTCTTTTCCTCTCTTTTCTTTGAGACAAAGTCTTGCTCTAGAGTGCAGTGGCACCATCTTGGGTCACTGCAAACTCTGCCTCCCAGGTTCAAGTGATTCTCCTGCCTCAGCCTCCCGAGCCGTTGGGATTACAGGTACCTGCCACCACCACGCTCAGCTAATTTTTGTATTTTTAGTAGAGACAGGATTTCACCATGTTGACCAGGATGATCTTGAACTCCTGATTTCAGGTGATCCACCCACCTTGGCCTCCCAAAGTTCTGGGATTACAGGCATGAACCTCTGCACCAAGCCCAAGGGTGACATTTCTTATCACTCTAATAGCCCTTGCCTATGATAATAAATTATCTGCCTCAAACAAGATGGGTGTGCACTTGTTCACATGGAAAGGTAGGCAAGCAGAGGCTAGAAAGAGGACAGAAAATGACAGGAAAGATGGACAGTTAGATGTTGTTTTTCACTCTGGCCCCACCAATATCTATTTTATGGCTGTTTTCTTTCAACTATTCAGTACAGTGAAATAGATATAAGATCCATTCAAAATCGAATTCAACAAACTTAGTTAACTACCTACTACTATACTATGCCAAATTCTATTAACTAAAATAGCAAACATAAATATGATATACATATATGTATCTAAATAACTGGAAAATAATACAAAAAATTCATACGAGACAGAAAAATGGTATATACTAGGGTCAACATATATGAAAGACTATGATAGCAGAGAGGGATTAATTTGGGTTAAAGAGAATTAACAAAGCTTTCTCACAGTCTGTAGGACCCAAAAGGAGCTGAGAATTGGGTAGGCAGAGATGGATGGGGAAGGGGTTTCCATGAAGAGCAATGGTGGCACGAAGGCAGGCATGGGTGTGGCAAAGAGCAATGAATTATACAGAGACATGAATTATAGTACATTGTGCAGTGAGTCTGTTATTCACGACAAACAGGCTTTGTTAAGGATGAAAAATGAATACCTATTATGAGAGGTATTTTTGTGTCTTCTTTTTAGTCATGTTAACTGATGTATAATTTACATACGGTAATATTTCCCCTGATATACTTATTTTAACATCTAGCATAGGGCCCCAACATCTAACTGAAAACTTTGCACATTGCAAATATTCAACATATATTAACTAGGGGGATGAATGGTTTGCCATCAATGTGGTATTATTTGATGTTATAAACTGACTCTCTTTTCCACAAGATCTGTTGGAAAGCCGTTAAACTGACATGGTAGATAATATTAATGTTTATCTTGATAGTTGTCTGACTTTCAAATCACTAACTTTCTATCTCTTCATTTATAAACATCTGCATGTATGTCAACTGTCTCTCCAGATTGTCTCAGGACATTTGGTTTGAAAATAGTTCATATGATTTGGATATTTGTCCTCTCCAAATTTCATGTGAAATGTGATCCACCAAGGCTGGAGATGGGGCCTGGTGGGAGGTTTTTTAAAATCATGGGTGTGGATCCTTCATTAATGGCTTGGCACATCCCTTATGGTAATGAGTTGAGTCCTTGCTCTGTTAGTCTATGAAAGATCTGACTGTTAAGAAGAGCCTGACAGCTCCTCCTTCTCTCTTGCTTCCTCTCTTGCCATGTGACATGCCAGCTCCCGTTGTCTTCCACCATGAGTAAAAACTTCCCAAGGTCCCGACCAGAGGCAGATGCGAACACCATGCTTCCCGTGCAGTCTGCAGAACCATAAACCAGATAACCCTCTTTTCCTTATGAGTTACCCAGCCTCAGGTCTTCCTTTACGCAAAGCAAAATGGACAAACACATTAGCCGTAGAAAATCTGAACAAAATGTAAGACAGGATATTTTATTTATGTCTCACTTTGTGATGAATAGACATTTTCTAACTAGTACTTTCCTTGAGGAAGGGATAGGGTTTCATAGGGAGACTAGATCATATTAAGGAAAAAAGACAGCAGTCACATTTTATTGCCCTAAGCCCACTTTCATTCACGTTCTCTCCACTCATGGGCACATATACAAAGCAGGCGTTATGTGCCCAGTTTGATAGACAAGGAAAAGAACTTTGAAAGCTGAAGTGACTTATTCAAGGTCACACACACAGACACATAGGCAGCAGAGACAGGACTAGAACTCAAGTCCTTACAGTGCTCTTGAGATGCAGTCATTAGCAACAGTCACAAAACACTTTTTAATTGAGGTTAAAGTAAGTGTTGAAATCGCCTTTTTTATACTGCCTTTGATAAATCTATCTGGCAGAACTCAGAGGTAGAAAACAGAAATTATTTTAGCTATTTTAAACTGAAAGGGATTTAGTACAGGGAATTCAGTGTTCATACAACTATTGGAGGGGCTGGAAAGGTAGGCTGAATGTTGGATCCAGGAATGCCTTCTAGTATGACACTGCTGAACCGGCCTTCAAGGGAGCTGCTCCCTCTACCCCAGTTAGAAGGTGAGGGTGCCACAGGAATGGTTGAGTTCCAGAACACAACCCCGGAGCTGTGAGATCCAGAAACTACCAACAGGCTGCTACAATCGCTTATCTACTCACATGAAGCCTGTGGCTATACAGTAGAATATTGCTGCACAAAAGCACTGCATCTTCAAGACCTTGCATGCCAGCAAAAGCCATCAAAGCTGCAGAACTCTCTCCTTTCATCACATTTCCTCTTTTCAAATCTTGCACAGACACATCTAATTATGGAAACTGCTTTGCTTCCATGACTCTAGCTGCAAGGGATTCTGGGAGATACATAGTTGGAATAAATGCCTAATGCCAATCTACTATACCTACAACCCAGATATTTGAAAATATCAACAGTGTCTCCCAAGACAGACTAGAAATGGGATTTTTGGTCTGTACTTTAAAGGCAGACATCACAGGCAATCTGCATTCAGGCGCCATGTGTGGTTGCACAGGTTGTGCACTCCCTAGTATAGGAAAGGAATGAACTCAGGTTGAGCACTAGTCACAGAGACTATGAATAGAGTGACCAATCCTGAAGCTACTCAGTGAATAATCTATGCCAGTCTTCTCAAGAGCTGTCTCCATCAAAGCAGGTCTTGGTTATAGCTTTGACATGGAAAGAAAGCAATATATATGACTAGATTAGGGAGCTACTTAGAAATGGACACATTGTGGAGGATCTACCATTCAAGGTGCTAAGGCCATGACCACAGGAGGAGGGTCAAGTGGAAGTTAAGATTGACTTGAGAGCCTGATAGCCACAGTACCTGCCCAGAGAAGTAGGTCAGGTATTTTCATCAAGCTTTCTTAGAACTTAGCATAAAAACACTAGAGAATAAAAATATCATATATTATGATCTAAGAAAGTCAAAATCAATTATACTGTACTGAGAAGTCTTTGAACTGAATTTGCATTATGTAAAATTAGAAATAAAAACATGTTCCATCTCTCTACCCATGTGTTAAACACACATACACACACACACAACAAAGCTCCTTTTTATTATTTTTATTATTCTTCATTTGTTTATATTTCTGAAATACTGTACTTTGTTCTAGATTTCCCACTCAATAAGAACATTGAGAAGCTGGAATATATTCAGAAGGGAGCAATCAAACAGGGACAGGTCTGGACCCAATGACATGGGTGAAACAGGTGAGAATTAGGAAACTACTATTAGCCTTGGAAGAGAAGGCAGTGGAAGAAAGATAGTCATCTTCACATACCCAAAAACCCCTCATTCTGAAAGACGGGGGTGTGTGTGCGGCTCCAGAGAAAGGAATCTGGAAAAATGACTAAAATTCACAGGAAGGGAGAGTTGGGTTCAGTTTAACCATTAGATCTGGCAGCAGATGACACAAGCTACCTACATAGGTATCCCTATGGTGAGATAGCTCCTGTAATCATGTTGATCATTTGGTCCCTTGTATCTGCTGCATAGACAGACTTGATCTACTGCTGGACTTGAAGCAACACAAGAACATGAGTCATACAGCCTCCTCTGTCCCCCCAACTCACCCCACAGTAGATGGCATAGGGACAGGCATTCGAATACAATCTAGATGAAAAAAATGAAGAGATGAACAAGGCCAAAGGCCACAAATGACATCTTCAGAGAAAGACTGGCTTTTATGGGCCACCCCAGATATCTGGCTCAGCACATAAGAGTCAGCGATGCAGAGGAAACTGGTGCCTAGGCCAGGGTTTTGCCAAAAGCAGGCTCAAAGTGTGGGCAAGAGAAAAAGAGACGCTCAGATGGAAGCTCAGAGCCTGGCCTGAGCACAGCTTCCAGGTAAAGCTGGTGGGAATGAGAGGAATTGGCAGGTTTGGCACAGATGCTATTATGCTTTCTCAGCACTCAGAAACAGAGGCAGAAAAGGCTGCGTTTTTGGACAGGGGATAGTGACCGAATAGCTTCTAGATGTAGAGGGCCTTTGTTTCCAGATCTTCCAGCATTCTCTACGTATGATCTCACTCACCCTACCTCTGCTCTGGGAAGAAGCACGCAGGTGGCTGGTACAGAAGGCACATAGGCCTGTTTTGACAAGAGCAGGCGGAATGGCTCCTCTCTAGCAAGCAGCCGACTTAGCAGTCAAGAAAGGACTGTCTTTCAACCCCAGTGACATCATGGAATGATTTGAAACCATATCAGTCCCTTTTCTATTCTTGATCCTATGACTCATTGGTTAATATTGAAATGTATATCGCTAATCGTGAATTAATAACCTGTGATTCAGTGTTGGACTGAATCAGCGAGGCCAAAGGGATCTGTGGAACAATTCTGTGTCTGTGTGTGTGTGTGTGTGTGTGTGTGTGCTTGATCCAGCACAATGTGTGGAAATGCACCCATGTCCTACATCCACCACGCCACACCTCCACACGAAGCCACCCCTCTCACTAGCTCCCCAGAAGGCCAGGACTGTCATTCTAGTTGCACTGCTACCGAAGTGCATGGTACATCTGATCTGCGAGTGAGCACTTCCTGTTACCTTATTCGTAGCACCCTGGAATGAAGCTGTTCCTGCCCTGGCTCCACCCCTGTCACTCCACCATTTCTTGTGTGCCTCTTTTACTTAGTACCTCCCAGGTTTAAGGGAGAGACAGCTCCCATCTCCCATACCTGCCTG